TCAGACCTGCTGGGAGTGGTTGCAGCCAGAGGCTGGGAGGCTCCAGTGCTGAGAGCTGTCAGTGCTCCCAGCTGTTCTGGGTATTTTCGGCTGAGAGTTGAGCTCTGCTCTGATGAAGCCGTAACAGAATGCTGAAGAGGTTTTATTCAAATCGAGGTGTTACTGACTAATCCCTCCTTGAAGCACTCTGATGCCCTGGGTTTCCTGGGCTGCTTTTTCTTTCTGAGAGATTTTCCTTTCTTGACCTTCAAAGCCAACAAGGTTAAACTCCACGTGTAAAAGGCTCAAACCTCTCCCAGACCAGACCTCCTGTGCCCAGGTATTAAGACTTGGGTACAGAGGTGTCAGGTATGTTGTGGGATGCCTGGGAGCTCCTGCAGTTTGTTTTGGCATGGCAGCACAAACGGTTTCAGCTGCGCAGAGAGGGCAGGACTTGTTTTGTTCCAAGCCCTTGCAGTGGCAGTGCTCCCTCCTGTGCAGCCTGTGGCCAATGCAGGGCTGGCTGCTGGGCTCGTCCCCAGGGCAGCTGTGGTTGAGTCAAACGGTAGTAGCAAATGCTGCAATGGGGTCAGGATGGAGCTGAGGGGAAAGTGAGTTCACAGGGAGGATTTCAGCCCTGTGTTTTTGCTGGCATTGGTGGAGCAGGGCAGAGGGAGGCGGTGCCACTGGGAGCCCATGGCCAGTGCCCAGCTGGGTGGGAGGTGCTGTGCATTTGTAGAGCCACAGGTACTCTTTGCATCTCTCCTCATTTTGACGCCACCGGCCTGTCTTTTCCCCTCTCTCGGAGGAGCTAATTACGGTGATGTTAATGATGCAGAGGTGCTGATGCTACCTGGCATTTTAATGAGTCCTCTACATTTTCTGCTATTTTTATGAGAAAGCCAGGGAGGGGCCTTTGAGAGGTGAGGTGTGTGGTGCTGGGAGCACAGCAGTGAGGCAGCCCCAGCCCTGCCATTACTGCACAGGGGAAGCGTGCCAGTGCTTTTGGGTCAGGTTGTGGTGGCTGCTGCAGGAACAGCACCAGCAGCTCCTCACCGTGCACCCAGGGCCACCACCGTGCAGGAAGGATGTGCCCAGGGGCATCGTGACTGTGCTGGGCAGGAGGGCTGTCAGGGGCTAGATGGAGCTTTTCCTGGGGTTGCAGGGCTGTTCTGGTGCCCGAGCACTGACACACTGCCATCAGCAGCTCTGCACAGCCCATGGGGTTTGTGCCCACCCCAGAGGGTTGGGATGTGCTGTGAGCAGAGGATGTGGGTGGGACGTGGCTGCACGGAGTTGGCAAGGGTGCTGTAGCCTGGAGAGGATTGAGCAGAGGTGCTGGAGCACTTACATAAAATATCTAAATAAATCTTTAATATTTCTAATTGCAAATGTACATAAATTGCACGGCCACATCATTTCTTTGAACACCAACAACTTTCTCTGTACATTATTACATAGTTTAAAAGGAGCTGAAGGAGATTCAGCAAACACTTCCACTTTGCATTTTTTTTTTTTGTTTTTAAACATACTTACAAAAAGATTTTTTTTCTTTATAAGAGGATATAAAACATAGCGACTGCTTATCAGGAACAAGTATCAGCTTAAGCAGATATACAGAGAGAGGTATATCTTAAGACACAGTGATGTATGATAAAGGAATATGTGAACATGGAGACTGCACTTTGGGGTGCTGGCAGCTGATGCAGAACCACGTGGAATTTACAGCAATGTCACAGCTCAGGTAACCTGTGAAGTCAGTGCTTTTTCCAAGCATGATTGTTTCTGAATGTTGTACGATGCTCTCAAGACTGGATTTGGTTTGGAAAGCCCATGCTTCTGTCATCTCTCGCTCCCCCCATCCCCTCCCTCTGATATTCCTTGAGGGAAAAGGTGCCAGTTAGCCCTGCAGGGCTGGCCTAGGGCTCAGCTGGATCCGAGCAGCACAGGGCCACACAGGCGAGCCTTGTGGCTGAGCAGTGTCCTCTGGGGCTGGGGAATGGTGGTGGCTGCGAGCCCACACTTTCCACGCTGGGCAGGGTGCTGCGAGTCCTGGATCAGACCTTAGTGTGTCTTATGTTGCACGTTGGTATGGATTTAAGTAACAGGAGGAGCCCATGAGCATTCTCAGCGTTGGACGCAATTTGGGGGCTGCTCTCCCAGCAGAGACCGTGTTGTCTCACTCAGGTCCACTTGTGTCCCTTCTCCCTTTAGGAATATTGACAGCAGAACCCATGTCCTGCGACCTGCGGGCTGGCTGCCAGGCCGGCGGACTCAGCATGTTCTCACAGTGCAATCAGTGCTTTACAAGCAGAAAACAAAACCAACCAGACTCAAATGACAATGCGGAGTGACACAGGACTCTTTGGATGGCAGCAGGATTTGCTTAATCTGGTGCAAAAGGGGCTGGTGACTGTGCTGTAGTATTAATTGGCATGGGGAAGGACCTGAGTCCTCCAGTTAGTTGGCACTGCATTTAAGCCATAATCCCTGTCCAAAAGGATGGGACTGCAGAGTCCCCAGAGTATCCTTCAGTCCATTTAATCCCCCTTTACACAAAGTTTTCATCATTTTTTCTTTTTTCCAGAATTGTTTGCTACAGATCAACAAAACCCCAAATCATAACTCTTAAAACAGAATTCTTGAGGTGGGCCAACCTCAAACCTGGATCCCTGGCTGCTCGTCCTTCCCTCAGGTACCCCGTGGTGAGGAGGCTGAAATCATAACCTGGGGCTGGATCCAGATTTGCCAGATGGAGTCCACCTCTGCTGAACAGCAGTGAGATACAGCCAAATCTTGACCAAATAAGCAGCACCAGAAGTAAATTACTATATACAACCGTTAGTGAGATAGATACGTTACAGTAAACACTGAAAACATTTACAAAAAATATTAAGACTTGTATTAAGATAAAAATCTGAGTGTGTTTTAGTCTTGTTTACACTTTGACAAGTTTGCACTAGAACAGCCTCTTATTTTAGTAAAGCGCAAGAATGAAAAAGAAAACGGAGCAGGTCACAAAACATTACGCATAGTGGTTGCTTTGCCGCGGTGCTGTGAGCACCTCCTGTGATTAATTGCCTCTATTGCTACGCCAGGCATCAGGGCTGGGGCTGCAGCTGGGCACCTGGCACTGCCACTCTCTCTCACACACACACACATACAAAAATGTACAGTTTATAAATAACAGAAACACAAACAGAAGTAACAGAACTGAGCTGAGCCTGGATCTTAGAACCTATTCCCCAAACCTTGACATGGGAGGGTTGTACTTAGGTCCAGTTGTTGATACTTGCAGAGTAAGGAGACACAGGAACAAGGGGCTGGGGAAGCTCCACTGTGAAAAGATCTCGTTCTACTTGGAATTCTGTTTCATACAGTTCATACAGGAAACTGAGCAACTCCAGAAGGTATTGGCACTGGAACTTGGAAGGTTTTATGTTTTAGTGAAGGACTTGAGCAGCCTGCTGTTGCAGCAGGACAGTGTGCTCAGTGATGTGCTCAGCGATGCGCACATTCGAGGTTACCCAGGATTTTCTGACAGATCTTGGGGAGAAATAAAGCAACAAGGGGAATGGTGGTATAAAAGCAGTGCCTTGGCTGGGGGGGCAAGCAGATTTACTGCACTTTGCTTCAGCACTAATCAGCTGTGCTGGGGGTGGGTCTTTTTTCCAGCTCATAAGAGGGCACTGACTGCACCCCCAGATTTTGTTCACATACAAATGGAAGCACTGCCTGTGGGGCGTCTGCCCTGTGCCCTGGTAGTGCTTCCATTCCTTTATGTTGAACAACTTCCATCTCTCCCAACACCAGTATTTTGGAGCGCAGAAACAACTGACTCTAAAAATACATCTGAGGGCAGGAGCAGTTTAAGTGTCTTTTTAGCAGGGTTCTTATCATGTATATAAAGAACAACAGCAGGAGTTACGTGTACGAACCAAACTGTTCACATAACCCTGTGTATTCCTAACCTGTCTGGGTCTTACTCCAGTTGTAACCTTGTCAGCTGTGTCAGGTTCTTCAAAGACATCTGTGCTATTCTCCACATGCTGTACTTGGCATAAACATTTAGTGATTACTTTTCTCTGAGGAGCTCCTTTTGGGGTCTCTGAGCACTTGCACCATTCTGCAGGCGTTGGTGGGGTGCAGAGCCCTCAGTGCAGAGCAATGCGTTCGCTCCTCCGAGGACCAGAGCTGCAGCAGCTGCAGCTGCACCAGGCTTGGCCCAGGGCTTCCAGGCAACAGACAAACATTTACAAAAATTAAAAAAAAAAATCATCTTAAATTTTGAAAGCAATTGCATGAGGAAAGATGCTGTTAGTGAGCCTTACAGCTGTGGGGCAGCATGGCAGTGCAGAGCTTATGGCACATCACGTCCTGCTCAGGCTGCAGGTGGTACCTAAGCTGTGCAGAGCTCAGTGAACGTCCTAGTACCTTTGACTGTACATTTACACGTGGCAGGAGGAGCTGGGACAGGCGGTCAGCAGTGTGTTAACCTTTATGGGAGGAATAGGCAGATGTGCTGTACACTGTACACTGTCATCCGTGTCTCAGAGAAATCTCTCTGGCTCTCGGTCCGAGTGACCTGCTCTGAGACTGGGAGTCGTGAAGGACTAACTGGACAACCACAAACCAACAAACACCGTGGTGGCGGGTCAGCGGCACAATCCCCCGTTAAGGAGGAGACCCCTCCGCTGAGCAACACGTCTGTGTGTGCCGGGGCTGCGTGTCTCTGCAGTTAGGAAAGTCTAATCCTGGCTTATGCCTGCACAGTGCTCCTGACAAGGGGGCTCTCGGTGGTGGCTGCTGTTCCTGTTGGTTACTCCCTTATGACCATGTTTTACATTCTTCAGGCCGGTTAATTTCCATGCAGTGCTCATTCCCAATTTAAAGAGGACAGTACTCCAGAAAATGGGCTCTTTTTTTTTCTAATGCATACTGTGAAAGAAAAGAAATACAATTACCGATCTTCATGGTTCTTCATGGCCGTTCTTGTTTCTTTGCCTTTTTTTCCTCCCCAGAAACAGTAAAAAATCTCTGCACAGAGCATGACATCCCCATAATGAACTCTTTGTCAAGCATGAAGCTGGCCACGTTGCAGCCTGGCACTCCCCCTCTCCACAGTGGGCACCAGCAGCAAATCCAGACCCTGCAGCTCACTCACAGCCTGGGGACAGCAAGCTCAGGTTACCTTTAATTTGTTCTGTGTTATGTGTGTGGTAGGGAACGCAGTGCCCTGGAACTATTGCTTTACAAAGACTTGTCCCCAGTGTTTGTGAGAGCAGAAGCTGGGAGTGGAACCAAGAAATCCTTCTGCAGGGCCCGGATCCTCCCTCCACTGACACAGGAGCCTGGGGCCTATCCTGCTCATAGGGACCGCCCAGGGCCCCACAGCCGGCCTCTACGTGGCCCCCACATTCTCTACATGGCCCCCACATTGCACTGAGCGAGCCCTGACCATCCTGCTGGGCTCTGCCCCTGTGTGGACAGAGTTAATTAAACTCTAATTTGCTGTGCAGATGCCCTCTGGACAGCTACCCACTGCAAAAGTCAGGGGCAGCACAAAAGCTACATAAGGAAGGCCAAAGGCTCAGGGATTGCTCTGGGGATGGGGCTGTGCTCCAGGGGGAGTCACATGAGGAGCAGGCCAGGCTCCTGCCGCCCTCCAGCATGCGCTGCCTGTACTGAGCGTGCTGCCCACTGCAGGCTCTGCCCAGCTCCCTGCATTTTGCTTACTGCAGTGGCAAGGACGTTACTCCTTGTTGGGAGGGGAGAGGCGTATCCTCTGGGCAGCTTGGAAGGAAAAGGTTACTTCTGTTTAAACATTAAACACTGATTTAAATCCAACAGCGACAGCAATGCTCAAATATATCTTATTTCCTTATGCCACTCATCTCACACTTGATCTTTCCGTCCCCTCAATGTGCTGGCATTAGCATCTCCCACAAAGGCTCAGTCAAGCGCGCCGTCCGCAGTAAGGAGCTGGGTTCTCTGGGGAGAGAGCAGCCGTTCTCTGAAGCCGCGGCTCACACCTGCTGCTGCACGGGTCTCTCTGGCCAGGCCTCCTCCTGCGGCAGCGCCCTCCGCGGGTTAACAATTACTGCTGTTTCTGAATTCTCCATTCTCTGTAATCTGCAATTTAGTTGGGTTTGTGGGGGAGATCCCATTACGCGTCTGCATGCTGTACCTCTCTTTCAGCTGAGTAAGGGCACTCATTAACCGTGCGTTGGCAGCATCCAATGAAGCAATGCGTTTCTCCTGCAAAGAAGCGGACGGAGGGAACCGTCAATGGAAACACACGGAGAACTGTCTGCCACACCGTGAGTGGTTGTGAGCTAGCAACCTGTGGGCCTTTGGGACCAGTACCCCTCAGCAGCCCACTGCTGATAGCAGGTCTACAAGTGCTTTGCCTGTGTTTTCCCCTGCTGCTGCCAGGTGAACAGACATCTCTGCAAGCTGTGTGCTCCAGGCTGGCCTGGCAGCAGCCACATCCCAGCCAGAAGCCTGTGTGTGTGCCTGGGTTGATGCTGGGGCATGGCACTCTGCAACCTCCCAGCAGCTCCATGTCAGATGGCACGGCTGTGGCTGTAGCCTGGATTAGAACTGTGCTGAGCTGTGCTGTGCCAGGTTTGTACAAAGCCTGCGTTTCCTTCAGGGAAAGCCCCTGAAATTCTGGGTTAGGACATAATTTGAGGATTACTTCTATGAGGAATCAATATCCTTTCTGCAGGTAGCTCCAGAAGCATCTGCAGGGGAGCACCAGAGTTCTGCATGGCTGCAGGGATTCTGGGCAGCAGTTCTACAGCCATGACCCCATTCAGAGGGTAGCTCTGGCTACAGGAGATCCCTGTTAGACCTTCCGTCCTGCTCCCAGCGCACACCAGGCTTTTAAACAAGCACAATCTGCGCTGAATTAATTTTATCGTACTAGGGTTAATTGGTCCTGAACAAAATGGAGATAAAGTACTTTTTCTAATTTTTCAGTGATACAGAAATTGTGGTGTTTGCTCTAACTGCAGCTGTTATGAAGACGATAACATTCCTGTTCTAAAGCATAGTTCTCTCCCAAGGTGGTTATTCCTGTCAGTGTTTAATTGATTTTGTTAGTGTAAATAAATGCCTTAAATGACTTGTGGCCTCCCAGGATGGCTCTGATGGCATAGCTTATCCTCACTGATTACACTGAGGGGTCCAGTGCAGTGTCATGGGGACAAGAGCAAGAGCTGCTGTGCTGCAGCCTGATCCTGCCATGCCTGCACATTCCTGCTGTCTGCTGAGAGCAGGCAGAATGAAAGTAACACGGGCACAGCAGTTTGCCTATGTAACTCCAAGGATCACACACAGTGTGAGATGATAAGCAGAAAACTGCACCACACAGGCTTGGGTGAGAGCCCCATAACACTGCAGGGCCTGGAGGAGGTGCTGCTGGCTGCAGCCCCCAGCTGTGTGCCCCACACTCCCCCTTACCTGCCAGGCTTTGCCCTAGCGCAGCAGGAAATGTGTGCTGATTTACTGGCTTGGAACAAATTACTGTACAGGAAAACAGTGATTCTTTTTGCAAAGTTACCACCATCTCATCTCCTTTTTAATTAGTTATACAGTAAATTAGTCATGAGTGGTGACTCACAAGAGATTAATACGGTCATTAAGAGAAAGCCTACAATTCACTAGCACCCAGCCACAACCTGGCGCTGCCTAAACAAATGAAAAGATGATGGGCTGTATTTTCAGATCCTTTGTTCCAAGCACAGTATTTTGCACCATCATCTGATCTGTACCACTAAGTGCGCTATCAGCCCTGGCACAGTCCTGCACAGACTGACCCTGGCCCTGGCCATCCCTGCAGGGAGCAGGGTGCTGACTCCCATATGCTGACCATTTGCACAAGCTCAGTCCCCTGGCACTGCCATTCCATGCTCCTCCAAGCTACAGGCCCTGTCTCCTCCCCTCTGCTCCCTCTGCCCTGCAGACATGCTTTCCTTCCCTGCTCTGTGCATTTGCTCTCCTCTTGTCTATCATTCCCCTGCCCTTCTGTAGGCTCTGCCCTTCTCTAGACTTTGCTCCAACCACCTCCTCGCTGCTTTGCCTGCTGTCACCCCCACCTCCCCGCATTACCTGCCAAACACCAAGGCTGGAAAAAGCTGCAGAATGCAAATGCTCTGGTAAAAGAACAGTGTCCTGCTGAGGGCTGACCCACCCTGTCACTGCCTGCAGCTTTGTGCTGATGCACCCCATGCACGTGGTCTGACCGCACTGGATCTGGTGCTGCTGCACAGTGGGGAGGCTGCACGTTGGCAGAGTCACCCAGAGAGCTGCAGCCCTCAGTGTCAGGGACTCACCTGTGCATCAATGATCTTCTGCTTGGAGTCCACGGCAGCCTGCATTTCTGCATGGTCTTTTTTCAGCTCCTCCTCAACTGACATCAGCCTGGTAGCCAGAGGCAAGAAAATAAAAACCTGTTTTCAAGATGCAGAGTGCATCATCTTTGTAGTGTTTTGTACTGCTTCGGGGAAGTGATCTGAGAGCTGGGGGCAGCTGGAGGAAAGGGGACCCTGCAGGCCTGCAGCTCCTGGGTTGGTGTTGTGAAAAGCATGCTTTATAGGAAGAACAGAAAGTATCCTAAAGGCCCTCAGTGAAAGGGCAGGGACAGCTTTAGTTGGACAGCAAAGGCTGATATGCACCTCTGCAATATGTGGGAGGAGGTGTGAAATGGTAGAGACCCCGGCCTGCAGCCCTCAGCATCTGGATGAGGTCTGAGCCCTCAGCTGAGAATGCAACACTAAGGCACACTGAGATGCTCTCACAACAAGCAGCTCTGTGTTCAAACAGAAAAGGGACACGGGCATTGCCACCACCTGCTGATAACACACAAACAAATGGTTCAGTGCATCATTTTTCTGGCTATTAATTTTGTCTAGACAACCACAGAGCACACTGCCCAAGAGCTTAAGTGATTAAGGCCAGGGAAGGAAGATTCCTTTGTGAGTGCTGATTAAAAGCAGAGACGTGGCTCGGCTCAGGTAAGGTGAAACTGGCAGGACTGAACAGCGTGGTCAGTGCTAATGCCAGCCCTGCTGCCTCCCCCAGCTGCCCTGTACCTGCTGATGATGCCCTTCATCTGGATCTCCTTATCCTCCTGCTGTCTCCGCAGCCGCTCCTCACTCTCCTCCAGCCTGGCCTGGTACTCCAGCATCAGTTTCTGCGTTGTCTCCTCCTGGCATTTGAAGCGTGTCTCGTACTCCTCCAGCTTCTTGTTGGAGATGCGCAACTTGTCCTGCAGCACCACCAGGTCCTGCTGGTACTACAGCACGCGGGGACAGACAGGAGGAGAGAACACCTGAAGCACATCATCACACATGGCTCTGCCCTTGCCAGGGTTTCCCCACAACCCGACTGCCCCTCTCCTAGCTGCAAACCCTTATCAGATAACCCTGCTTGCCAACACCTCCTCTTCGGTCTTCTCCATGCTGTGCTGGGAGCGGCGCTGCGTCCTGCAGGGCTGGCACGGCGCTGGCACGTTCAGAGAATGGGCTGTTAGCAGAGTTCAGCAGTTCACATGGGGAAAGCAGGTTAGAGTGACTGAATGGCAAATGCACCTTCCTCACACTGCGCGCAGCGCTAAACACAGGCAGGAAAAGCTGAAGTGGGATTTTGGGTTAACGCGTGAGCTCTTCAGCCTGTGTCAATAAACAGGAGTGCCTTGGAGATGCTGAAAGCACAAGCCCCAGTTGGAGCGGGTGCAGCTGCCTCCCGGATGGGGCACTCGGGGCTGAGCCGGGCAGGGGCAGTGCTGCAGCCCCACATCTCAAACCCTGCAAGCAGATGGCAAGCCAGGGCTCAGTCCCAGAAGAACTGCTGCATGAAGCCAGGACCCCACAGGCTGTGCCGATCCCACAGCTGAAGCTAAATAGCAACAACAGAAGAATCACATAAAGCAATTACGAGAACAGCTTCCTGACTCAGCAAAGCTGGGTTCAGCTGTTTGAGAGCATTCAGCACAACTTACTTTGCTAAAGGAAAATTCAGTGCAAATCTGTCTTAAGACTTTAATTTCAAAGTTATCTTTGAAATCCGTCTATTAAAAAATCTTAACTGTAGTGACCTTAGAATAATTAACACACACCTGATGTTGTGAGGAGCTGTGAGTCAGGCTGGAAAAAAAAATCACCTGGGCCATGAGAGCAGTTACAAGGCCACAGGAGTTGCATAAGTGCAAAGAGGAACATGCTGAATCCTGAACTGACTGCAGCTTAGAACAGAGCCCTGCCCTTCGGCCATCTCCAGCCACGTGAAGCATTCACGTTACCAATGTCCTTGTATCCTGATGCTGTGAGACCTGCTGGGGAGCTGCCCTGCCTGATCAGCTCCTTTGGAGAGGAAGCACAGCCACTGTGCCCTGTGCCCCAGCTCACATAAGCACTGCTCTAAGAAAAACCTCTCCTCTGCCCAACTGACTGACTGCAGACGGAGCTCAGCTCCTCCAGGCTGAAGTTGTGTGATGCAGAGGGGCCTCCTGACGCTAAAGGCTGAGTGGGAAGGGGCTGTAAGCTCCTCCCACCGGGGCACAGATGGCCACAACAGATCACTGTTTTTTTCCTTTAGCAAAGCTTTTACTGAGGCACTGAAAGGACACAGTTTGCACGTGGAACTGGAGTGATGGGGAACAAAGATGCCCATACAGATGCACAGAAGCACTGAAGTCAGACAGAAGGGAGTCGTTCACACAGGAAAGATTAAATACCTACCCTAGCCTTAAAATAGGAGCAGCATGAGTGTAAGTGATAGCAGGAGAGGCCTTGGAGCCCGAAGGAGTTGCTCCTGGCTCTACAACACTTGTCTCACTCTTGGTTACCATTCAAGTATTACAGTAATGGGAAGAGAGATTATGCTAACGACGATCTTTGATGTCAGTGACTTTACAGTAAAGTAACAAAAGATGCTGCATGGCAGTGAGACACCAGGGCAGGGGGGTCACCTGTGGCCTTAGGACAGGGACCAGTTTGCTGCAGAAATGAGTTCCTAACCTGACCTTAGCCCCCTGGAGCAGGTGCTGGTGAGCTCTGCTGCCCATGGGAGCCCAGACAGGGCCAGAAGGCAGCCAGGCCAGGCTGAGGGACACCCACCCTGCTGCAGAGCTGCAGGAGCACCAAAGCTCTTTGAAACCTTCAGTACCAAAATGCAGCAATAACACAGGTGCACAATGCATGGATCCGGAAGCACTGCTTTCATTTGCTGCCTACTAGCGTCTCTACTTAGGTCACATTCACAATTTCTATACATGTGCAAATAGTGTCAGCTAACTGCAGAGCTGAGTGTCTGATCAGTGCATGTCTGTGCTTGCGGGAATACCAAAGGAGGAAAGAACCCATAAAAAACAGGTTGAGCTCTCCCATCTGCCATACTACTGGAGCCCCCACCTCCCGCTCCCTGCTCTGCCTCTTAAAGGTGAGAGCCCCAGAATGATATGACTGAGCAGGGGAAGGCTACAAAACCAGAAATGGCTGTGCTGCAGAAGAGGAAAGAGTTCAGGGAGGGAGAAGCCTGCAGCCTGCATGACCCGACTTGGTTGCTGGGATGCAGCAAAGCAAGCATGTTTAGGAAACATCCCAAATACCCAAGTGCAGACACCCTACAGTGCCAGGCTGCTGAGAAGTGTCAATTCTGCAGCACTCAGGGCCCCTCTGGCACTGGGGGCTCCAGTTGAACCCTTTGGCTCTGACTTGCTGGCAGACCCCACAGAGCCTGGAGCAGTGTCACTGCATCAGCAATGTCACACCAGGCCCCAGTGCATCCAAGACCAGAATCTGGACTTAATTTTTAGGTCTCCTTGCAGCCTCTTACCACGGGAGCTGCTCCTTGTTACATATCCCTGCAGTAAGGCAGGAGGGTGCCAGTATCCTACTACTGGTCTCTGGGTACATTTAATTTATTTTCTAAGCCCTTCTTCCCCTGCAGCCAGGGGGAAGCAACAGGCACTGGCTGGCTCCAGGTGATGCTGCAGAGCAGCCCTGACTCCTGGCTCCCACTTTTCTCACTTGCCTCCATCAGGGCAATTCCAGTCAGTGTGTGAAGCCCTCCCAGGCAATCCCCAGCAGCGCCCTGCGAGCAGCAGGGCTGAACAGCCTGACAGCCTCTGTGGGGCAGCGTGGGGCCGGCCTGCCCCCGGCTGCAGCTCAACCACATTCAAGGAAATCCTCTCTCTATTTAGAAACTTGATTCAATCCAATCAGGTTTTACCTTTTCTGCTTGGCTGAGCTCGTCCTTATTCCTGAGCTTATCCCTGTGCTTGGAATCTGGGTCAATGCTTTCATCTTCTAAAAACTGCATGTTCATATTCAAAAGCCAAGCAGCAGTGCGGTCCAGGGCACTGGGGTTCACAGGAGAAGGGGCCTACAATGAAACATACAACCATAACAAAAGAAAAACCTGTAACAGAAAGGTCATGAAGCCAGAGAGAGCAGTTCCTTCCAAGCCCTCTCCCACGCTGCTCCAACAGCAAAGAACAGATTTGAGCTACTAGGGGGGCAGGAATACCTCCTGGTGTGCACCTCCCATTATTTTGCATCAGAAACATTTGACAGGTTGAATTCTTCCCTCTGCCATCCCTATGGAACAGGCAAACAAAGGTGCATGGCAGTGGAACCCTGCTGAAGCGAACAGGCCCAGGTTACTGCAGCAGCTGTCAGCTCTGCAAGCAGAGTCTTCACTCAGCTTTTCAGTCTCTGCTTCACTGCGCTGTGTTCTTGCTTGCCACAGAGCCTTTGCACAGATGAAACCACATCTTCAAAAATACACCTTGAAAAGTAACGGTTTCTTCTTGGGTGAGGCTCTGTACTGAAGAGGTCCAACTTTCCAAGCTCTCCCTGGAGCTCACAGGGCCAGTGGGCCCAGGGTGCAGCACTGCTCTTGGCAAGCACTGGGGCTGAGGGCAGGACTGCGAGCTCAGCACCTTCCAGCTGCATTAACAACTTGAGGAAGTGAAGCTGCAGTTATTTCCCCTCCATCCTGGCTCGTTATAAACAGCAGTAATTATCCACTTGGATGAACACAAGGGATCTGGATGACCTGTTCAAATTAACAAGGCAAAGAGATTGGGAAATTTCTCCTCCATTCAAAGCACCAGTGCTGGAAGCTTTCCTGTGCCATCCTTCAGCTTTGTCTTCATTTCCACAACTTTCAATCAGAAGCTCAGGCACTGCTCATGGAGCACTGAGGGCTGATCGCAGGAGAGCTGTCCTCCTCAGTGATGGAAAGGCCCTGGGTCCAATGTTCTCCACTAACAGAGCCACTGCCCATCAGCCCTTCTGCCTCCTCCTCCTCTCTCTGAAGATGTGAGAAAGCACAGCCTGCTCCTGTCTGGCATGGGTTTGATGGCAGCCCAGGTGAACTCAGGAGGTGGAGGAGGTACTGCTGAAAGCAGTCCTCCTCAAATGGCCACCATGTGGGATCTCTCGGTTCTTGAGCAGCAGATT